AATAAAATACATATAAAAAAAAAAAAAAAAAAAAAACAGCCTTAAAATCAGGTTTCAAATAATTAAAATCGACATTCAATTAGACAGAAACACATTTGTTATTTAAATCTTAAAAACACAGACAATTTAAGTAATGTTCATGCTATGTGCTGCTAAATTGCTGAATCGAACTGAAATAATTACATTATCCATATTTAAATGATTTACATTTAAAAAAAATTACATTTTGTAAATGTAGTTATTCACATTTTACTTAAATAATTTACATTTTATTAATTATTTTTAGTCCTGTCAAATGATGAATCTTTACATAATATATCTGTGTGTACTGTGTATATTTATTATGTATATATAAATACACACACATACAGTATATATTTTGAAAATATTTACATGTATATATTTATATTCGTATAATTTACATTATATATAAATATATTTAATATATAAATGTAACATTTTTTCTTAAATATATACATGCATGGGTGTGTATTTATATATACACATAACAAATATACACAGTACACACACATATACATTGTGAACAAGAACTTTTATTTTGGATGCGATTAATCGCGATTAATCATTTGACAGCACTAATTATTTTACTTCAAGTTAAACAAGTCTGTTTAGTTTTCTTTCCTTAATACGGAACTGAAACCCTTAAAAAAACAGACTGATGAAATAAAAATGGAATGAAATAAATATAGCTTGTCTAGTTGCTCTATCCTAAAAAAGTACATGTAATTCATGAGTTTTTCGGTCGTAAAGGATTCGTACCGCCAGAGCAAAAGCCCCATTTCTGATCTTTGTCATAGTCGCTTGTAGTGGCACACCACTTCCTGCCGTCAGTCCTGCCCTGAGTTGTGCACTCAGAATAAAACTTGCCCAGGAACTTAAAGGGGAAAATGCACACTTCATTTTTATCTGTAACTGAAAGACAATAAACACACATTTTAATCATTTAAGCGGAAAGTTTAACAAGAGTTTAACAAGAACCGTAGCGGCACCCCTGAAGCCAAATTGAGGTATATTACAATTATTAGCTTCTAGAACAAGACCATCTGTCAAAATTGTGCCTTAAAATGCTAAGTTGGCTGCTTAATAGGTTTTTAGAGTGATTCAGAGTGTTTGTCTGACCTTGAGGACAGGTGTCTCCTCCACTGTACTGCATGATCACAGCCTGCTCTTCTCTCTTGTAGTCTAGGTTCATGATTTTGCTGTTTCCGTATGAAGCCGCAGAGCCCGTTAAGATCAGACATACCGCGCTGTCTTTACATGCTGTGCCTGTCACAGTCCCACACACGTTGATATTAAAGGAGCCGGAGCTTCTAGGAACCTAAAAAACACAAATGAATTAAGCTCTAGAATCATCCCTTTGCTAACATGCTTGAATAAGTTGACAAATTGAGATATTGGGTATATATACACACACACTACTGTTTCTGTCATGACAACTCTTGGAGGGATTGGCATGGTAATGTACATGACAATGTTAATGTATTTGGTCTTGGCGGAA